ACTCCCATACTCGGTTCAGTGTTTCATCAACCAAAGTGTGCAGTTGCATCAGAGAATATTCCTCATCATCTGTCGTTGGTGGCGGTCGTATGAGAGTGCGGAAGGTCACCTCAGGCAGCGGACATGCCCTCACATTGATCTCAATGACAATCTTCATACCTTGGAATGGCGTCCATGAGAAGATTCTGGGCATCTCCATGCCGGAATGGGAAACAACACAGTCCAAAAAGGGTAGAGAGCATCGGCTTTCCAATCCAAAGGACTGCAATAGTGCTGCAGTCGTCATGCGAGAGGGGAGCTCAACAGGATGGAGTTCAACTTCCGACTCAACTCGGGAGTCCCATACAGCTATCAAAGCCAGAACTTCATCAGGTCGAAGCTCTTCTCCAACTATGACATAGAGGTCGTCCTGACCACTCTGTTCTTGTACTGTGGGTAGCGGCTTGACAGCCGCCATTGTCACTCTTCCTTCTTGGGAAACAGGAGGCTCAACAAAGTCTCGCAGAAGTGTTTGCACCTCTTCTTTGTCAAAGGATGCTAACTCGAGCATGCCATCAATCTCCATGTTCCAAAAGGAGGTCTCATCAGCAATAACGCCACAGAGGACAATATCTGGCCACCGGCCTCTAGCAGCGCGGAAGGCCATTGCCTCTTCTCGCAAATGATCAAATTGTAGGAATCGCGTCAATCTTGCAACCCTTCTTCTCAGCTCGTGCCATCGAAGATTCTGCTGTATCATCATCTCAAATTGGTCCCCCCCAACATTGGTTTCAGATGTAGTTGGAAGCTGCATCATCCTCTGGTGGAGGGCTGGCTGGAACAATGTCGTCTCATCTCCTGGCAGGTGCCCAAGTCCTCTATCCAACTCACCATCTCTGCAAGCTTGAACAGTGGAGATGCGGAGCAGCATACTCGTACCATGTAGTTCATCAACGACTTGCTCATTCAACCAATATCTCACTTCGCCATTATTCGACACTTCCAGGTAGCACAAAGTACCTCTGGTCTGGCAGGTCGACGTGATGCCCAGTTTTGTGATGATAGATTGGAGGGTACCCTCTCTTTCCACATGGACTGCAACCCTTTTTGGCAGAGGTAGGCCAATCACATCGAGGATGAAGGCCTTCTCGCCAAGTTCCAATTGCGACATTGGCATTCCAAGCAAATCAATCGGATATGCACGCAAAGATAGTGGTTCAACCACCGGAAATGGAATTGTGAAACCCCATACATCAAAGCCAGTAAGATCTTCCAGTTCACTAAGCAAGACCTTTGTGAATGACTTGTCAGGGACCCAAGCACATCTTCTGGCGAAATAGGCAACTGTAAAATGGGGCCTGGTCACTCCCCACACATACACAGTTGTCACAAGGTTGCTTGGCAATCCAAGCCTATCACTTGCAAAAAGCCGGACTACATCTGGTCCCACGGAATCAGATCGGCCAGCATGTACAATGCCAAAGTGAGACTGTGAGTGTGGAAAGTAAGGCTCATGAGCAACCTCAGTGATAGCGGTCTCTGCTCGCGTGAACAGGTGCATCAGGACATGATCGTCTTCTTCTAGTTCTTCACAGCTTCCGCAGGAAATACCCGAGAGGCCCGAAGTACCGTCGTTTTCACCTGTCCCGCATGATGTAGAAGTTCCAAAAGAGGAAACACCATCATCATCATCATTTCCACCTCCTGCTCGCAAGATCTGTCTTTCACGCAGAACCAGAAAGATCCCTTCATACAATGGAACATGTTCGCCCCATGTGTATAGCCTGGCTGCAGCATGATTGCCTACGGTAATAGTGCACTCCGTGGCCCATACACACTGATTGAAGGGCTCAATTTGCTGGAAAAACCACGACAGAGGTGGAAAGACAGTGGTTTGGAAGATGAAGCTTCCTCTTCGGGTTTGTTGTGCATCTTGATATTCAACTAATGCCGGTACATACCGTGGATCACCAGGAGCAATCACCAGAAAATGTGGCATAGCAAGCCCAAAATCATACGGTGGTGGCCTGACAGGTGTTACCATGCAACTCCTCCTGCCAAGAATCCTCCCCCATGGACTGCGTACAACGGCCGCACCCGGCAATTGGAAGTCAAAATGCAAATCACGAATGTTTGACTGCAGCCGTCCAAACTGGTCCCAAGGATGGTACCAAGATCTCACCACAACCGGAGCTCTAGCTTGCATTGTCTCACGGATGTATAGAGAGACCAAGTCCTCTGTTGGCGGTCCAACTTGCATCAGGCTGACTAGATTCTCATCGTGGTAGTCCTCACTGCATGCTTCTACCAGACTTGTGCAGCCAAAAGCATCAAAATGTGAGTTGTCAAAATCCTCCGATTCAGCTCTACGGAGAAAAGGTCTTTCCGGAGCATCGCCTCGAAGAAGGGCGGAGTCTTCTGTTGCCGATTCATCACGGCAAGGTGCATCAAAGGACCCCCCACAAGACAAAGAGGGGGTCCATGATCCTTTCGGACAACAGTCACTCTGGTAGGTAGTCGTTGTCTCTTGTGATGCAAAGTGCCTAGCTCTCTGTTCTGCATAGCTATCCACAACATGTGACTGACAAACAAGTAGAAGAAGGAAGATCCCGGTCTTTCTATAGCCAGACTTCCGAGAAGAGGCAGCTCTGCATCTGCTTTTGCTGATCGTTCTGCACTTGCCAGGAAAACCAAGACATTCTTCAAAGCGATGTCGCAGAAATATCCCAACAAGGCAGAGAAGGATCCCGCAATTCTGACATATACTGAGACCCCGTAGGATATGCACACCACAAAAAGGGTCATCCCAAATTTCATGGACACTCTCAAGGAGTAAGAAACAAACCACTGCACTCGTCCCCAAAACAGAGACTACACTCCGCAGCATCCCAATTGGCGGCAAGAGACAAAGTCTGTCTTTTCGACATAGTCGCTCACCAAGATGCCTTCCAACTTCACCAAGACGCCGGAAAGCACGGATGATGCACAGGGACCAGGAGACAAAGAAGAGTTGCATCAAAGACCAGCGAGCCATCCCAAGGAAAAGATCGGAGCTCAATCCACTCAAGCTCCAATGTTGCGTAGAAGCATATGGCTCACTGCTCTGAAACCGTTCAGTCTTCGGGTCACCCCTTGAAAAATCACTCTTTTCATCCCCTCCAAAGAGTAGAGTTGAGGGAACTGAAAACTCATCCATGAGACATACCCCAAAAGTCTCAGAGAAAGGTGGTGAAACAAAACTTTCAGAATGTCGACACAGGTTGCAGCCTCCAGCTGCAATCGGCAAGCATAGAGCTCCATCGCAGGTTTCTTCGAACCCAACCAAAGCACTATAACCAGCATGGTCAACAGATTCTCTTTGGATGCCCTCAATCATGCATCCAAATCGCTGAGAGCCGCCCCTGGGACAGGAACGTCCATGCCATCGGAGATGATGCCTTCTGAAGTGTCGCCCGTACCAGGAGGCCTGCCGGCAAGCAGACGACCAGGCGCTCCAAAAGGCACCAGGGCTAAGGAACGCTTCAGGCCATTTCCCTCTTCCGTCAACAGGGTCTCCCTGTAGTTCTGTTCCGCCCCTTTGATCTGCTGGATGAGCTCCCGGACCTTGGTCATAGTAGGGAACTTCTCTGGCTCGTTTTGCATATTTTTCAGGAAATAACGCTGAGCTTCTTCTGACACACCTGTCAGGAGATGCTTGACTTCTGCATGGTTCACCGGGTCCTCGACTGGGAGGTGATCGTGCTTCGGCTTCTTGGCACCCTCCGGTGTAGATCTCGTCATCGGCGATCTTGATCGATTCATAGCCCTCTTTTGTTCTTCCATCCCAGCACCTTCGAATCTTGCTAAACTTGGTCGAGGATGTGGATGTTGCGGGGATTCCTTGGGAATAAACTCCCCGCTCCGAGCATGCAGCGTATTCAACAGCATGGCCACCTGTTCGGTGAGTTGCTGATTCTGCCGCTCCATCTGGGCTGCATATGATGCAAATTGGCCCATTTGATCCTTCATCTCTTGGAGCTCGTCCTGAACTATGTGACGTGTCACATCGACCAGGGTTGGATCCACTTCTGACGGCTCTTCGTCCATCTCGGCATCGTTGAGCTCTTTCTCCTCCGCTGCCTTGATCTCCGCCTGGAGCTCGGCAATCTCCTTGCTGAGCCTGCGATCTTCTTGCGCTAATCCCTCTTGCATGTTGTGCTTCCAAGACTGGTAGCTGTGCTCCTTCTTGTGCAGTGTCTCTTTGAGGTTCTCGGCCTTGTTGAGAATGCGTCTCTCTTGGTTCAGCTGACGTTGTCGCTGTCGGATCTCTTCTCGTGGATCGACCTTGACCAAAGTTCGAACTGTATCCAAGTCTGCATCCTCTGGCTTCTCTGCCTGGAGCATTCGCCTGATAGCATCTTTGAGTTTCTGGTTCTCCTCTTTGATGCTGCCATCTGACTGTGAGGCAGAAGATGATCCAGATCGCTTTCCAGGCTCGGCATTTCCCTTGAGTTCGACACGTTTGCCGTCGTGGGAATACATCACGAATCCTGAGGTCTCTGGCTTTCCCTTCTGCTCCTTGTTCGGCTTCTTGTCGTTCTTCTTGCCCTGCCATTGCTTCCAGTCCTTGGCTGTCCATTTCTCTTGCCGCCATGACATCACTCCAGACAAAGCAGGAATGCGGTAGGCCGGTCGTGAGTGGTGTCGAGACAGAAGGTCCACAGCCCTCTGTATGCCAGCCAGAACCTTAGGCTTGGGTCGCACCTTCTCACGGTGGCGGTGCAAAAACCGCCGTGCAAAAGAGCGATGCTTTCGCTCCCTGCGGTGCCAGCCCGGCGACGGTGGCTTTCCAATGGCTCAGGTAAAAAAGGCGACCCGAGACGTCGAGTCTGGGGCACAAGCGATCCGGAACCTCGTCCGATATTCTTGAGCCCTCAAGAAAGACACAGACAAACACAAACACATTGATCATTGTCCTTGTTAACCTGCTTCAGCGGAAGCAGCGCCAGCACTGGTGAACCCTTTCGACCGGTGCCCCCCGCCAGCACTGGTCGAAGGCAGCGGAGGGCCAAATCGTGTTCACCTGGGAGACGGTGTCCACGAAGAGGAAGGTGGATGAAGGGAGTGACCGGGAACGCATGAGTTGCTTTTTTCACAAAAATATATTCTGTAATGTTTAATTCTGAAGAGAAGGAGCGCTTGTGAATGATGGGTGTGAGAATGATTCAATCTACTCTTCTCATCAAACAAATTATCCAGCGCTGGCTGGAGCTGGCAGATTTGTTCTGGACATCCACTTGACGGAATGAGAACATCCTGGCCTTGTGCATCAAGTAGGAGGAATCCAGTCCTGGGCATGCCGGCACTTTTAATTGTGCCTGTCTTCTGTCTTCCAGGTTACAAACCCGCAAGGCAAGCGACTCCCGATTTTTGGGCTGTGGGGATGGTACCGGTCTCTTCGAGGTGTAGTGTACGTGCATTTTAGAGGGTTTCAGGGGCACACATCTTATAGTCAGTGTTTCGCCATCAACCTGCTGTGCCAAATGAAAACCAAGTCTGTGTGCTGTTAATTCAAGTGGAACGGCCTCCCTTTTGTCAATCTTTGCTGCGGATTTGTTTCGTGTCAAATTCTGCCAAATGTCTCTAGACACCGGTCAAACCCTGAGACGCTGCAATCTGGCAAGCATCCAAGCACGCAGCACGCAGAACTCTCAGCTATTCTGTTCCCCTACTCCGGTCGAAGCACCCGTCACGCCCCGTTCACCCGTCACGCACCGAAGACCGGTGCCCGGGCGAAGCACCGAAGACGCTGGCAGATTCCCCTCATAGCCTCGGCGACGCCGCAACGCAAGCGGCGCAAGGGCCGTCTCGCCTACCCCCGGGACCCGCCATAAGCGCGGATCGGATACTCCGTTCGTAGCGATGCACTTGTTACGTTCGTAGCGAACCTTGTTACTAGTAAGGCACCTGTTACAGTAAGGCACTTGTTTCTACTAGCTTCTTGTTACTGCTCTGGATCTACCGATCTTTCTGCTGACCTTGCCGAGCTTGCACTGCAGCAAGAAATCTTTCAGCAGTCTCCATGGTCAGGAAATCTTTTGGAGTCCTTCTTCATAAAGGAGCATGTTTGCTGTAGATGTCTCTACAAGGTGATTAGATATCTAGGCCTACCACTGCCACTCGTCACATTTCCTTGACAAGAATGTTATGGATTCTCAAAGTCTCTCCGGAATTCGTCCATGAAACCGCTCTACAATAAATGCATAATTCATCGTTGCACAGAATTACAGCTTGCTGTGCGTAGTCCCACAAATATATACTCACGACTCATGTCACATCTGCATACAAATGACATAATGACGTTCTCATTGTTTGCAGATTCTCCATAGAGCTCCGTGGGAACACGCCACATGTCGTTTTCATCAGCACAAACACCGTGCACTTTCCCAGCACTGCTGTGTGCACTCCCTTTTTGGGCTCGCTGGGCACTCCAGGCCCAGGAAGACTTCCTTGCGCCTGCGAGGAAAGCCCCAAAATGAGGAAACATCTCAAGACAAAGACTGCCTCCCATTTCCAGATTTTCTAGCTCAATTTGCAGGGAGCTGACGCGCTGGGTCTGTCCTAGGTGTAGGTATGTTTACTGTAGTCGTGGTATCCACGTACCTCCTGAGAAGGTGCTTGGTGTGGGTTCCGAGGGTCAACATACCTGCTTGAGGATGCGCTCCTTGACCTAAACCTTCTGTAATCTAATTTCATCCCAAGTGGCTCTCGTGGTCACTACGCCTCTTGCACGATAAATTTTCAGTACTCTGTGTGACGTGCTTGTCCCCTGTTTCCAGAAGAATACTAAGACCCCTGGGCGTTTTCGATGTCTGTGCAGCCGTCGCAAGTGATCGACGTATGCTGACCTTACATGAAACAACCGCAGTTTCTGATGCTCCCCGCCTTAAGATCGATGAGTTCAGCCTCAATTCAGACTGAGAATTGGCCGTGCGGAAGACTCCCTGAGGCGTTGCGGTTGCGGAGTCCTTCGGGAGAGGGTCAAATTGGAGTTGCTCAAGGAACTGGGAACGATATGTTTCTCCCCCAAACGGATTCTCCAACAGGGAAATACATTAACCTTGAGAAAAAAACCAGGCGATCTGTGCTTTCGGCTTTCTCTGTTGTTCTATACTCTCTGAGTGGAAGCAAGTGGTTTGGATCTCTGCAAAAATTGAGTTAGAATTCAATTCGGGAGAGATCCCAATTCTCTCTGGGCACGAGGTTGACTTTTGACCATTACTATCAACACTGAAAATAGTATAGTTATGCGGCCATGCCTCGCTTTGGCGCAAAGCTGGAAGAAAGGATTCAAAATGACAATATGGGCATCTCTCTCCCAACCAACGTGTCTTCATCTACGTTTGACTCTACTACGGATGGGATATTCTGAAAGCTCCCTATCCAGTTCGCCTGATGCTCTTGCTCATCCTGCACCACCATGTGCATAAAGACCTCTGGGATCAAATCAAAAACGTGCAGGACGGTCCTCGCTGTGGAAAACTTGTGTGGGCTTCCAAACCCACAACACTTACACCGAAACCTGCTCTTGTGCAAACTCAATCTACTTCGGCTCTGATTGAGAACTCACCAGGGTTCACACTGTGGTAGTAGAAACAAATCAGATATATAGGAGAATGTGGAGTAGCTGTTGGCGATAGCCAGCGATGGCCAGGTGTAAAGCAAGGCTTTGCCAATACAATTTTCTTGGCCCCTCCCCACTTGCTATCTAGCTTGGACTTGAATAGTTGACCACCAAATGTGACCGTGTCTTTCCTAGCACTTTCTCGGCACACCGCTGCGCCGCTGCGCAATCAAGATAAATTTCAGGTGGACCTATGGCTCCTGACTCTTGACTACACATATATATATAATACTGTGAACATCTGTAAACCAAATCACGAATTTCTTCAGTGTGTATCTTCTCAGTTTGGGCGGCTGAAACAACAACCAAACAACATGACAACTGCCACAGGCATGTCTAAGCATCAAAATGGCAACATTGTGCAACATTCATGAATCCAGCGACGCCTCTCAGTAGCCTCAGCCCCGCACACTGGTGGCGCAGTGCGGCAAGTACACGAAATCAGCGACCTTGCGGAGCAAGGACGCTACTAGGGGCTCCTGGCCCTACTACTAGGAGCAATGTTCGCTACTAGGAACAAAGGGCATCGCTACGAACGGAGCGGTCGGACGCTACTATAGGGGCTCGTGGGGTCAAGGAGTCGGTTGCTTCTTTCGTGGTGCTCCAGTGAACCGACTCCTTTGGGTGCAAAGAACAGTGCACCGACTCACTGAGGTTGACCTCTTTTTTCATTGGAAAATTGTCCAACGATGATGTGTGCTAGATGCTCTCTGGAATGCTCCAGAAGCAATCGTGATCACGTGTGGTACTTGAAACCAGAATTATTCTTCGTGGCGCTCTATTGGTTGTTGAAAAACGTAAATTCGTACGACTTGACAACATTCAAAGAATTTCAAAGATATTCAAAGTATTGACCTCCGCTCTCGGGATCAGCGGCAGGTCTCAAACTAGGCCTCCCAAGTCCCTTCTCGACAATTCGCCTGAAAACCCAACAAATGAAACGCACGCATTTGAAGGCAGCTCATATTCTCTCTCAACCAAGCAAAGTCAATGGACCGGTTCTTTTCTCCGGCGATCCAAACCCATGCGCCCCTGCCGCCCAACACAACGACCCTTCGAAGCCCTGACGAGGGCTTCACCGAACCTCTGCCTTGTTCACGACAATCGCCTCGTTGGACCTTACCACATTTCAGATCCATGACAAAGGAATTACAGATCCATTGTTACCTTGATGCGCCAAACGCAAAATCTACAACGGTTCTCTGATGTTCCCTGTGCTAGGCTATATAATATATGCTTCATATTGTTTTTGTAGCATTGCATTGTAGGCAAGGACTTCATCTTCTGCCAGAGTTGTCCAGTAGTTTCACAAAAAAAGGTTCGGAGCCCCTTGGTCGAACCTATTCATAAACTTCATATCATTCTGCCAGGTCGGTATTGTTTGACTCAAGAAGTCAAGGAGTCAAAATACAAGACTTCAGTCAGGAACCTCTTACCAACTCCACGGTTGAGGGTCCGTCTCGGTTTAAATTAGGGAAAGCCATACATATATATATATATATATGTATGTTTTTTTTCAAGTATTTGGTTTCATTTCCGGATCAAAGACTGAATTGAAATCAAAGAACCAATGTCTTCTAGACTCGAACCCCTTATGTATATATATATATATTGGGTCTGTCCTAATGCCTGGATGATGATGGTTAGTAAAGGCCTTGTTCAAAAATGGCAATATTTACTTGTTTACTGACTGGAACAGGTAATAGGACAAACCCAATATATAATATATATATATATGTAGAATATTAATGAATATTATAGAATCATGTCTGCTTAGAAATCATATTTTGGGCACAAACGTGCTTGATCTCCGGTCTTCTCCATGGATCCAACTGGTATGCTCAGCTTCTGCCCCACCTCCCCCCCAGTTCCCAGAGAACTTCCAGGGCTCCCCCGGCGTGAGCATTCGGTGCAGCCAGTGCTCCATGGAGTACCGGAAGCCTCAGAGCACAGAAAAAAGTAGCAAAAGAAGCTGCTTGGGCCCTTCAAAGAAGGCCTCGTTCAAAGGGACCCTATTCCAATGAGCCCGGGCACCATCTTTTGATCCCCTCTCTACCAGAAGCCTCAGAAGCCTCCACGTACTCGACATAGACCCACCACGTACTCGGTCGGTACAGCCGAGATAATCGACGGGTCAGGCGAAAAGGACTGCCGTTGCACCAGGTGATGCTAGGTGTGGCGTGGGGCACGAGTCCGTTTCGTGCGGAGTCTGCAGATTTGGAGAGACCAAAGTCTGACCGACGCTTTTTGAGGGTTCTTGGTGGTGCGATGACCTAAGGAACCAAAGTTTGTTGGTGGAAAATATGAGGGAGTGTCAGAATTGGCCAAACCTGCAGTTGGCTCTCAAGGCTATCGGAATCTGAAGTGACAGCAGCAACTGTGGTTTTCACATGCTTTCACCATCTGGGCATCCTCTGGATCCGATCCTTCCTTGGTGGCTCCGACCCCTTGCAAAGGTGGACTGGACCTCGCGAACGGCGAAATCGCACCACGGAAGCAGAACAGCCAAACAGAAACCATATCCAGACTGACCTTCTCCGTCCATACGCGCCCACGGCGAAAGCGCCTACAGATTCTTCCATGAGCTGGCAGGCTGGCTCCTTAGGTGAACGTGTGGAAGCAAGGAAGGGTTGTATGACCTCCATCTCCGCACCAATTGATTTGTGTGTGGTGCCCACAAAAACATCCAGGTCTTCTACGCTTCTATGCTCACCAATGTACATATCTTAATCCCAGGAATGGCTGAGTTTTTTGTTGGTAGAAGGCCTGACCTGATCACTGCACGGGCCGATAGGGTCCAAACACAGTCGAATGTCAAAGTGCGCAGTCGCAAGTCATGGTCTAACTCCGAAGCAACATGGTTCGATGCAAAGGAGCATCATTATGGAAAGAAATGACCAGCCAATACCTTGAGGGTCCTTGAGGGGCAGCAAGGACATTTACATACCTTACCATTCAAAAGGTCGGATGGACCAATATCCATGCATTTCATCACGCCGTCTCACTTTGTCAGACTGAGGCTCTGGCAAGTTCGCCCAAGACGAATATGCGCGGCAGTAGCGCCCTGCGCATCATCCGCAAACAAAGACATTCAAAGCTCGTCTTGGACCTGGTAGGCTTTTTGTAAGCCGGCGAGGTAAGGCCATTGCCATTGAGATGCTGCTGCAGTCCTGAGGAAAGCATTATATAACCTCTCTCTTCACACTCAAAAGTATCTAAGACCCCATTGAGCGACCTCTAAGTGGTGGCTGGAATTGACACGACAATCGCGTCACTTAAGAAAGCCTAGCACTTCGTCAGGACTTAGGACGATGGACATGTAGGGTGAGGTTCAGACGATATTATTCTAAAATGGCGAACTTTCACTTTATTAAACCATTTGACTTAAAGACTCAAAATGTCATGTCCAGGTGAAACCATTTGACTTAAAGACTCATGGCGACACAGGGCCCACCCGCCCACCCCACACGGCCCTCCTGTCATCCGTTCCCACGCCCCTCCTGTCAACCGTCCAGCTGGCCAGCTCGTCACTCATCTTTTTGGTAAAGACATTCACCCTGCCACGGGAAATGCGAGCAAGAGAGGCAGGAAGAACACACGGTGTTCAGTCCATAAGAATGGTGTTTATGCCATTGATGGCTTTTAATGCCAGGGGTCCCTCACATCAAGGTGCCATTACCCATTATCCATAAATGTCCATGAATTGCTCATTGAACCCTCAAAGCATGCTTGTATCTCAAAACCAATCAGGAGGGCCCACAAACATAACCAATTGCATCCTCATTCACTACTGTAAATGTCCACTTGCAAGGGCATTTGGAGGGCTCCGCATTTTGACCCCAACCAACTTGTTTGATGATCGCTGGTACACCCGGGCAGGCTAGGGCCTATTGTTGGCTAAGATAGGGCCAAGGTAAAGGTCTGCCTGGGACCTATGACAGTACGTATGTGAAATCCGCCCGTGCCGAAGGTGCTGAAGGGCGTGTGTGAGTTGGGGCGCGAACACTGAGTTCCCATAGCTTTAGCTTGGGGAGGGGCCTTTTTCGTTTTTAGGAACGGAATAGCACAGCGTGAGGTGTGTCTGGAGGGGAAGTGGTGGTGGAAGAAAACATGTAAAAACCTGGGGCAAATGCAACATTTGCTGTGGTGGTGGTGTGCCATATGATCTGGGACAGGACATGAAGTGGTACCGTGGTACCCTTTGCAGTCTTGCAGCGAGGAATGACCCAAACTGATGAAAGGAGTAGTTTCTTTGCCTTTCATGGATCTGATGATTCAAAAGTGAGAGATTCAGTAAAACACAAATGATCAAAACACTATTTTACCGTGCACATAACCGACATAAAACCTGGAGATGAACGGTTACAAGCAACTAAAAGTAAACATGATTGAGGTATAACCTTTATGACACATATGAAATGTTTCAAGCTTTGCTGGATATGTAGTTTGGGCTCAACTATACAATGCGCACGATCAAGATATATAAGACCTAGAGATGAAGGGTAGCGTGCAGTGGACGCAGTGCAGTGTACGAGAACAGAAGTATTTGGGAACATATGAGATTTGCATGCTATGTTGGATAGGGGTTTACTGCAGAATGATGGAAGGTAGGAGAGGCCTGATCGCCTGATCTAACTATCCTACTAGCCCTAGGATAGGTCCTAAAACAGCCCTCTATAGGGCCTATGATAGGCCTAGGATGGCCTAGGCGTATGTGTTTCTAGCTTAGGCCCTATGCCTGACTTTATAGAGGCAACCCTAGCAAATGTAATTATGGGCCTTTGTGTGGGACATATTTGTCTTCGGATCAGCAGCCTGCTACAAAGCAGGGACTAACACACATTGTGGAGCCACCCCACAAGTAAGCAAACCGGAGTACCAGTATCATCCTTGTCTAATTCAAGATCCAAGCAATTTGATGCAATTTGGTCATCTATCATGTTGATGCGAGCTTCTTGCAAGACAAGTCCAGTGAAAAGAGTTTATTCAGCTGCTGTAATTATCCAAATCACAGCCAGCAGCACTCTTTATCCCAGTATTTCAGCAGCTGCCGATTCCTTGAAAGTTCCTGGTCAGAACGCGAAGCGCAAGGATTTGGACTGTGACATGAGAGTGAAGAAACCGCCACAAGCCCTACATCTTGTTCTTTATACAATTTGTCAGAGCTGCTGTGGACATCAGCTCCATTCATTCCATTGTTCAGCTGCATGGCAAACTGGGCAAACATGGCAAACACGAACGCAAGAATCCCTTGTTTGACATGCAGGCACCAACGTCGCCGAATGTGTGGAGTGCAGCAGTACGGCCAATGGGAACGCGCGGTACTTTTCTGTCCTCAAAGTATTCGACTGCCTCGTTGTCAGCAGCCTATCAAACGGAGTTGGAATCCACTATCCTCTGGTCATCAAAATCATATACACATATATAAATTGACTCTGAAAAACTGATCTCCACCATGCTTCAACCCTCAGGATGGACACACCATGATAAAGACATATAAAGACTCCTTTAGACAGTTTGAGGCTGAACGCCTGCAGTGTTGATTAATCTTGGACCCTGCGCCTAACCCCATCAGTCATTGAACAAGTCATGAACACCAACATGAATGAACTACATCAAATAAAGATTCTACGTTTTTAGAACATACGAGTAGTGAAGTACTTACATAAGTTCTTTTCAATGAACTACGTCAAATTGTTGGCTTCACAACAAGCCACGCCACCGTTCGTCCAACCTCCAAGAAGTCCGAACAAGAGTCCGATGTCCCAACCTCTGTCGGGGTGTGCGTCAGCTCGTCCAAATCTGATTCGCCCATCCTGGAGCGACACCCGCCCAACCATGTGGAGAAATGCGTTTCGTGTTATGGACAGAACCCCCCCCCAACCGTTGATTGTTTCACCATTTTTTTTTCCGAAAACCGATGAACATCATAGAGCTAAATTACTCAAGATCTAAGCTTTCGGCCGAAAGGCTTTGAGCCCTCTGCTGGGTGACACGTGGTCATAGGAGACTCGGATTCTCACCCCCATCGTGTCCGTGATGAAAGAGATCCCAAATGGTGTCACAAATGGTGAATTTGCCTGGTTTTCATCCATACATCTTCACTAAAGACGAACGAATTGCCTCTACTATGAGTGGTCCACATGCTGCCAGTTGTCAATACGGTATGATGATGTGTTTCACAAACAACCTGTATCAACATACCCCTCTGGGACCCATCCGTTCCGACAGCTTCCGGGTTAAATGTGAAACGGTCAAAAAAAACGACCTCCGGGTAGTTACTACCGCGTTTGTTTTTGGTAATGACAATGACCATACCACAATCATCTGCAACATTGACATCTGCGTGTTCCTTCTACATTGACATGTTGTGACCATGAATGACATGTATCAAAACTGTATCAAAACTGCAGTTACAATCTTATGACTTTTGTCCACATTCAACATCCGAAATCAAGTTCATATGGCACCCTCGACAAACAAATAAGGGCTGATACTCAGCACACCTTTTCAACTATTGTCAGTTCTACAGACATGATCAACAAGCCCTTTTACTGCACAATACAATCAATGGTCGATGACTGCTATACGGCATCTCAGCACCAGGCTCGTGGCGATAGTCCAAGCATCGCAGAAAGTCCTAACAACCAAGGTCGGAGTATCAAGCAATGAGATCTATATATGCTGCTTATTTGAATCAAATTCAAATCACCCTATATATTGATATATATATATATATCATTATTCATTATTCTATATTATTCTTTGTCAGGTCAACCATTCACCTCAAATCTTTCAAATGACCTGCTGTGCTAACGCCTCAAACGACGACTTCAATGCCAACTTCTTGAGTTGGCAACTTCCGAAGAATGCATCCTTTTGCAGCTGGGCTAATTTCTGGGTCCTAAGCACGGTACTGGTACTGGTACTCCACATATTCACCCAATGTCTCGAAGCAAACCTAACAGAATTTCAACACACACAAAGAAAAACACCTGTTCTCCTCCCAGCTTTGGTGCTCCCCGTTCCCAGCTAAGCTCCCTCTGGTCGTCCGAAAATCGAACTCTTCGATTCTTGAAGGCCCCATCCCCGGGTCCCTGGTGCTGTTTGAGGCAGGAGGGCATGGCCTGAGCAAACCAAGTGGGGACGGCGAAGAAGCATATCGTCTCAGCTGCACTGAGAGGGCGAACACCATCATTGTTATTGCATCCTCCCTCAAAAGCAAAACATGTGAAAGGCATCGTGTCCATTTTGGATGGTTTCGGCCAAGCACTTGATTGCGGGTTCGTACATGTCGCACTGAAATCATATCTGCTCACGCCTGCAGGTTCTCAAAGAGTATACAATTCATGCTAACCTCCCAGCAGTGTCGTCCTGCTTGAATCTTAGTGACTTAGTGATGCAGTGATGCCTCGAAAACATCACGAGTATCTGTGAAAATGATCTGGACTTTCAGAAAGGCCCGGAACATCTCAACAATGCCTGGCCTCTGGCCACTCTGGCCACTCTGGCCACTGGCGAGCACCAGGCAACAGAGAAGATTGACCTAGGCACGTCGACGCTCGTTGGCCAACATTGCCCCTCCCCCAAAAGCCCTCATGTCCCTCGAGTCAACCACCTGAAGGAACTCTGCTGCCTTCGGGGAGTCCGGAATTCATGCAAAAGTGCAAAGATCTGGCGACAGCATGCGACAGCTGGATAGATGAAATGCTGGATCAATCGGCTCGCAAAGGAAAGGCCTCTGGGAACTTTCACCAACAACGCGTGAAGTCATGAGACATGGTACCACGTGCAAACAACTTAGACGTACTTCTAATTGAAACAAATTATGGGACAAATCCAACTAGAAAAAACAGGTCCAAGTGCAGCAAGTGGGTTTCCCTTACATCGGCACCCCACACTCCTCCAACCACAAGTTCAAATCATGTCAGACAATTCCACTTCAAATCAAACTGGGAAGTTCAAACCGAATTAAACCCTTCCAGGTGGCCATATATATATACATGATTATATATTATCTTGACATATATTTTGTGGTTTTCTTTCCAGAACTCTGCGTCTTTACGTTTTACGCTGTGACAGTCCACTGCCTTCTGGCGACCAACTGAGGAAGGCGCGCAGGTGCGGGCTCCGCCGGCTCCGCCTCACGTTCGGTCTCGACCGGTTCAGATCCAAACCCATGTTTCTACTAGCTTCTTGTTACTACTAGTAAGGCACTTGTTACTAGAAGTAAGGCACCTGTTACTACTAGCTTCTTGTTACTATGCCGCAAAACACACGGCTGATTCGACGGCAGGCGTTCTGATGAGCACGGCCTAAACTTGGTGTGGCTGTTCCAAACAGAAATCCTTAGGCATATCAAAACCAGTTGAGGAAGGTGTTCTTTGGCGGCACTACCATGCGCACAAACCAGTTTCCAGGCCCGAGCCTGCACTCATCTGGTTCGACCAATCGCGCCACCATGTTGCATTACCAGGTTTCCCAAGATGGGGATTGACAGTGCCACAACAAATTATTAAGGTTCAGCTATCTTAAATATGGAAGAAACTCCCTGAGCAACAGCACTTGTCATCTGTGAGCCCTTTGGTTGGATCCAAGATGAGTGCCAGCAAAGTGATCATTCAACGCAACCATGAATGACCACATGGATGAGTGTCTCCGTCTCAGTGCTGTCTGAATTGAACCTCGGAAGGAAGTTGATCCTGATACTTTGCAGCTCAATGGAAGGGATTGTCCCACGAGATTGTGGTGGGCAGGACGGTAAAACAAAAGAACGTGGCCATTGAAATTGTTTAATGACAGTGCCCTGAATTTCTCAACTCTTCTCACCAATTTCCACCATCACACACGCACACTTCCACCACATATCGCCACATGCTCATCACTATAACACTGTCATCATCTGTCATCACAAAGAGATCAACGAGTTGTGATATGAATTTGTAGTGGGGGGAGGCGCCAACACAACATGAACAGCGCGCAACATACATATAAATATATGTTATATATATATATGATAGAGGGACTGTAAAACGTCCACTTCCCCAAAAAGTCGACTTTGCAAACCTGACTGGGACCCGCTTGTAAATTTTATGTTCTTGAACAATAGTAAGAGCGCATGTATGTTACATAAACAAGGCCAAACATAGAAGAACTGCAAAACGTAGCCAGCGCAGAGGCTGGCGCTGCTGCTGCTCCTGGATTCTAGCAGTTGCTTGACTCTTGCTTGGGTGGGTGGGTGGGTGGGTGCGTGCGTGCGTGCGTGCGTGAGTGAGTGAGTGAGTGAGTCAGTGAGTGAGTCAGTGAGTCTGAGTGGGTCGGTGACGACAAGGAGACGAGGATAATCAAACTCCTTTGGCAATACAAAAACACACCTACCAGCAAATTGTGGTCATATCAATGATAGAGAACCTAGCGCCAACATAGCCTTGCCTTGCGGAATCAAGGTAGTCTGCTGCGGGGGCCCGCTGCAAAACAAATATCTAAACTGCATGTTGCCCATGAACAATTACACTTAAGCATTCTTTTCTACTTAGGGGGTTTTGAACGCAATCCATACATATATATATATATCTGTGTGTGTGTGTTCACTTTCATCAACACCAACGTGGCACAACATGTTGGCTTGACGGGGGGACTGGCAATAACCTGCGTTGGTTTTTGTGATTGCAAGATGGATGATCTTCGGGGCCCCCCCCAATACAGTGAAAGGCCACGGTCGTGGTTGACCATGGTAGTGCTACAGCAGCAGGCTCCATGGAGGTTTGGTCTAACCCGTCAGCAGGGCCAATGGTCAGTGTCGGCGGCGGCGCTGTCCATGCTCTGGTGTTTAGCCACTAGAGTCTCACCTTCTGACCAGTGACACCACGCGCCTTTCTACTTCAGCATCTTTTAGGCCCTGCTCCTTGCCTTGTGCCTTTGCCCGTCATTTTCTATTGGGTTGGACCTGGAGTAAGACCACACATGTCACGAAACCACACGAAAACGCATGCATTTCTGCATGTCAAGACGGTTCTTGGGGCTTACGCTGGGGAACCCCCTGGTTCCACCCCGAGTGTTCTTAACGTGAACATACGTGAACATATCACACAGCATAGAGTATAACATCGTCATCACCACACCTCACGCATCACTCGTTTACACTCACATAGCATGGACTTAATCACGTTGGGATCTCATTCAAGCTGTGGCCATGCGCCAGATGTCCTTCGGACATATTTGGACATATTTTCACACAAACAAACATGTTTCATCATTTGTCCATTGCTTGTTCGAGTCCATGGTTGCTAGAAACACGTCACTTCATGTTCTCACATGCTATAAGCATAAACCACACATATATAAATCATTGTTTGCAGGAGTGACTTGGCCTCATGAGTTTAACTGTGGCTTGGTTTAGCAGTGGACTTTGGACATCTTCTTGTTCACGCTTGGCTCTGTTGAGGGTTCATGGTTTAAGGGTCATGGAGCCATGGTCAAACGCACGCGAAACAGCAAAGCATTATTGACAAACTACCGCTTTACACATTCTCACCAATTTGAGAGAAGTGTGTACAAGGAGCCACGGAATCCGGTAATGATATAACAATGCAACAGTTTTTTTGGGGGGCATGAAACTGTGGGAGAAGCACATGGCATTTGCAGCAATACACAGGGTTGTGAAGACATGAATGACCCAAAACTTGCGATTTAGCTACCACCCACAGGCCTAACACCTGATTGCGACCTTGTAGTAAGGTAGCCCATCTTTGATCAAACGGAACTTGATTGTGGCCCTCGTCAGCAGCTGATTTATTCTTAAGCTGGCTTGAGTCATGCAGGTTAGTCGGAGATCCTCAGTGGCGGGTTGCAAACAATCTTCCGAGGGTTCCCTTGGACCCTAGGAGTTACCCCCACTAGTGGTAGAACAACAACCCCCCCCAAAGGTCCTTCAAGCCTGGTACACCCAGTTCCAGCAGGGTGAGAGGAAGACTGGAGAACAAAATACTCTAGAATGGCTGGAGTTGCCCCTATGATTTGATCCTTTGGTGAACTCACGTGAACTCCCTTGAAAAAACCTGGAGATCTTTGCTCAGCTTGGGAGTGTCTTTAGATTTGGCCAGTCGCGTCGATGCAATGCCCACATCGGGAAAACACCAAAACATGAGACTCAAACCAGCAAACCTAAGTTACCCAGTAGCCAGCACCTCAGGAGTGGCGTGTGGAAGGAACTCATGACTCAACAAACACCCTTTGAACACCGTTATTGCATTGCTTTTGTCTCGATCCGAATCAATCCGTACCCTTCGTTCAGACAAGAACTCCAGTATCTATCTGTACCTTACTCAGGTGTGCGAACTCGTGGGGTGTTGCAAGGTCAGGACTGACCAGGTCCTGGACCCAGGTTCCGACCTCCCTTTTGCGGGTTCGGCGAAGTGAAGAGCCGCTGTGCCGTTCCCCTTAAGGGAAATCTATGGCGAAGTGGAATGCCCAAAGAACTCGTGACCCAGTCGGTGAGTACTGAACAACAACTTGACATGTTGATGTTTCATGATGTTTCTTCCTGGATCTTCAAGTTTCCAGCAAAGCCTCCAATTGAACTATTCCAATGGACTGCTGCAAGTCTCGGGATTTTTCAGGAAATTGCTGCAGCCATTGCATGTCGGCAAGAGCAGCTCTAAATGGCCGGCAACTCTGTAATAATGCATCCCATGTTGCCAGTTACCTACCACCCGGTGGCAAACCAGCGCGGGTGTGGCGATCCCTGTGCTCTTGCCGCTAGTAGTGCGTGAAGACCCAAAGCTCCGGGACAATCAAAGCAAAAAAACTCCTCTGCTGACCCACATGCAATGCTATGATGGGCTCCATGTCGATGCAATGCTAGCTGCTATCAGGATGGATTCAGGCACAACTAACTTCATGACGCGTTTGCCTCTGCTCCCAGAGAAACCGCAACAAATCATCAGCGTGGCGCGCGGCACATCACGGCGTCGGGTGACCCCATCATCAGATTTCCTGGCCGAAGACCGAGCGAAACGCCGTGCAAGAAAACGTGAGAATGTCACATGTTGACGCAATGTTTGTGATATGATTCGATCAAAGTAAGGGTATTAAAGGATACTTAAGGCTCCACTTCTACGAAGCAAAGAACGAACAGTTCCCTGAGAGAAAAGGATACTTCAGTCGTGCAAAATCCACTGGATCGAGTTCCTGTTCTCCTGGCCTCAGCGATTGACACTGAAAAAAAGGTTCCGAACTCAACATTGACCCTTGAAACCAGTGCTTTGTATTGGGACATGATCTTTCAGGAGTCTATATAATTTCCAGGTCTATGTTTGTTTTCAGTGGTGCGTATTGTAAAGCACCTTTTGCACAGTTTGGTTTACTGCTCAAGCAGCAAAATCACTTGCAAATGCAACAGCTACACTTTGGGTCCGTCAACACATTATAAACACCACCAAATTAGAGTACAGTAATCATCCTTGCTCAACCTCTGCAGGGCACCAACCAGCATAATGAATCTACACTCCCAAAAACAAACAAGGAACTGGAACAACCCCTATACCGCCTATACCCTTGGAGCACCTAAACGGACACTACTTTCCTCTATAAACATGGTGACTGACTGCTCCACGCAACCATTTCCGAGTCAGAACATGCCCTCCGCTGAGTCGCGCTGGCGCCTCCTTCACCATCATCTGCTTAATGGTGTCTGTGTCGATGCTGATCTCCCCAGCAGATCCTCTGGACACGAGCCGACGAGGGGATGTAAGACGTCGGAGGAAAGAACGCAACGAACGAAAATGGTCCCGACATGTCCCGACCTGGGCACGCAGAAACCACCGAGAAATTCATGACATGACATAACCAAACATCACCAAATGAATGCTATAGCGCTGGATGGGTGATGGAGAATCTTGTTGCAACTTCGCAGAACATTGTGGCCAACTTGGTAAGTCTTGTGGCGTGGATCGCTTATTCATTGAATTCAGGCCTTTTCCCTTCATCTCCTCAGCCTGAAGGGTGGATTGGGGGATGCTCTCCCAACAAACTCAAAGGGTTGTTGTTCAAACATTTTAAACAACTGTGGGTTCTGTCATTGATTGACCTTGACCACTTGGCACCCAAACCTGCCCAGTGTTCAATAGATTCAACCCCAACTGCTGTATTTAGACAGCGACTGCACCCCCAAGTAGCGCTCGGTGCAGCACTGCCCCGGTGAAACAAACCGCAACCCGTCGACATTCCGGCGGGATCTCACCGGCCTGCGGAATCAAGCGCCGACTCTGTCGCATCTTGCGAAGAATATCCATCCACGACCAGCTCCTAAGTCAACCCGAGCAGTTTGGTCCGATTTTCTGGGGGCCAAAGAGAGCCTCCCCGCAACACCTGGCCTTTATGATGTGCACGCGCCGCCCCGCCCCAATAAATGACCCTTCCAGTGTTGCAGCAGGGGGGGTCCCAAAGATGGGACATATGATTCGACAGGTCACTGCTACGTGGAATGAAATTACTGTACTTCGAGC